GTTTTGGGGTGTAATTCTCTGTAGATATCTATTAAATTCATTTGGTCTAGTGCATCATTTAGAGTCTCTATTTCCTTGTTAATTTTTTGTCTAGAGAATCTATCCAGTGATGTCAGCGGGGTGTTGAAGTCCCTTGCTATGATTGTATTGCTGTCGATTTCTCCTTTGAAGTCCTCCAGAAGATTTTTAAATATATTTTGGTGCTCCTATATTGGGTGCATAGATGTTTACAAAGGTTATATCTTCCTGTTGGATAGATCCTTTTAATATTATGTAGTGGCCTTCTTTGTCTCTAGTTATGGTCTTCATTTTGAAATCTATTTTATCAGATATGAGTATTGCTACCCCAGCTATTTTCTCCTTTCCATTTGCTTAGAAAATTCTTTTCTATCCCTTCACTTTCAACCTATGCGAGTCCTTTGTGGTGAGGTGAGTCTCCTGTAAACAACATACATATGAGTCATGCTTTGTTATCTATTCAGCTACTCTGTGTCTTTTCATTGGAGCATTTAATCCATTTACATTTAAGGTTATTATTGATATATACTTATTTATTGCCATTTTTGTTTATTGTGGTTATATTTTCTTCCTATTTCTTCTGCTAATTACAGCAGTCCTTTTAACATTTCTTGCAGTGCTGGTTTGATGCTAATCTATTCCCTTAGGCTTTTTTTTTTTAAATCTGGGAAGCTCTTTAATTCACCTTCTATTTTGAATGATAGTCTTGCTGGATAGAGTGGTCTTGGATTCAGATCCTTGTTTTTCATGACCTTGATTACTTTATGCCATTCCCTTCTGGCCTACAGTGTTTCTGTTGAGAAGTCAGCTGATAGCCTTATGGGGGTTCCTTTGTAGGTAACCCATCGCTTATCTTTTTTTTTTTTTTTTTTATCCTCACTTGAGGACATTTTTTTCCATTTTTTGTTCAGATAGAGTGGGAGGGAGAATGAGGGAGAGAGAGAAATATAAACGTGAAAGGGACACATTGAGTGGCTGTCACCCACACGACCAACCAGGGCTGAGGACAAACCACAACCAAGGTACACGCCCTTAGCAGGAACCAAACCCAGGTCTCTCTGGACTGCAGGCAAAAGCTCTAACTGCTGAGCCAAACTGGTCAGGGCCCATTGCTTATCTCTTGCTTTAGGATTCTCTCTTTGTCTTTAATTTTTGGCATTTTAATTATTAGGTTCTTCTTACTTGGGGCTCTCTGTGCTTCTTGAACTTGAATGTCTTCTTCCTTCACCAAGTTAGGGAAGTTTTCCATCACTATTTCTTCAAATATATTCTCTAACCCTTGCTCATTTTCTTCTTCTGGATGTGAATGTTGTTACATTTCCAGTTGTCCCACAGTTCTCTTAAGCTGTCTTCCTGTTTTTTAATTGTTTTTTTCATTTGGTTTTCTGATTGTCTTTTTTCCTACTCTGTCTTCTAATTCACTGATCCGATCCTCAGCTTCCTCTACTCTGCTGGTTATTCCTTCCAAAGTGTTCTTTATTTCTGCTATGTCATCTTCATTTCTACTTGGTTGGTTTTCAATGTTTCTATGTCTTTACTCATGGTGTTGAACTCCTTACACTGTTGAGCTTCCTCAAGATCATGGCTCTGAACTCTACCTCTGATAACTTGCTTAACTGCATTTCATTTATCTCATCTTCAGTAGAGTTCTCTTGTTCTTTCATTTGGGATTTGTTTATTTGTTTCACCATTTTGGGTACCTCAGTGGGTTTTGGAGCCTGCCAAATTTTCCCTGTGGGTGTTGGTTTTCCGCTGTTTGGGTTTGGATGAGTGTGGGAGGACCCACGTTAAATACCACTGTCAAGTCTTACTTTCCTGGGTAGATTTGCAAGCCCAGGAAAGGTTCAGTTACCCTCTAGCTTTTTGCCTGGAGGCTATTAGTCTCAATTACATAATGAGCCTTGTAGAATGAAAAACTCCCTCAGCAGAATGAAAAACTCCCTCAGGTGTTCAGCATAAGAGGATTTCCAGAGAATGGGGCAGATGCTGGTTGTTAATGAGCCTCAATTTACATTTCTCTGGCCCAGCTAGGTCGGGTTAAATCTCTGAGGAAGGGGCTGCTGCTTCTCCCCAGGGCTCCAGGAAGGAGCTCCCCAAGGAAGATGGCCACTGTCCTGTGTGACCGTAACTCAACAAAATCTCTCAGCACCCTCAAAATCCCAGGTGTCCCCACACAGTTCCAGTTCAGTCTGCCCTCCCTCTCCCAGAGCCCAAGGTGAGTGGCTGCAGCTAATTTAGTGCTCTGTCCCAGTTCCCTGCGCTGTGGAGCCAGCTTGAGATTTTAACCCTGGGGGAGCGGCTCACAGCTAAAACAATTGCTGTCTGTGGGCTCCCAGACCCACCCTCTCACGTCTCCCCAGACCTACCAGGCTCGATTCAGTGTCCCTGGTTATATGGGTCCTCTCCAGCTGCTTTTCTGTTGCTTTTTCCCTAAGATTTGTCTTTATTTTTGTTGTAATTCCGGTTTGGTCCTGGGAGACAGTCTGAGTAGCTTCCATTCACTCTGCTACCATTTTGGAATCCCTCTTGTTTCACTTTCTGTGGCAGGCAGAACAATAGCCCTCCCAAAGACACTGACATCCTAATCTCCAGACCCTGTGACTACATCATGTCATATGATGAACAGGACTTCACAGATGTGATAAAGTTAAGGCCATTAGGTGAAGATGTGACAGTGGAAGCAAAGATCAGAGATAAAGAGAGATTTTGACAGGGGCAGGGAGTGAATAATAGAATAATAGGGAATTAGTCACAGTGGGGCACTAGTTATAGTTATGCCATAGTTGTAAGAAATATTAATCATCCTTGCTCTGTTAATTGTGATTGCTTTGTTCTGATTAAATAAAGCACATTCTTGCCCTGGGTGGTGTTACTCAGTGTTTAGAGCATCAGCTCGTGCACCAAAGGGTCGTGGGTTCGATTTCTGGTCAAGGGCAGGTATGATCCCAGCCCCAGTTGGGGCATGTGTGGGAGAAAACCAATTGATGTGTCTTTCTCACATCTATGTCTTTCTCTCTCTCTCCCTCCCTCCCTTCCACTCTGTTTAAAAATCAGTGGGAAAAATATCCTCAGGTGAGGATCAACATAAAAGAAAAAGAAAGCACATTCTGACCTGGCTGGGAGTTGTATGCCCTGGAGGTTTACCTAAGGAATGCAGTCCATTCTCCTTACCTGAGAACTACCTAACATCCTGGAAGGATTAACAACCTTGTTATCAGAGTGTTGGAATCCTGGAGGCAAAGCACTGGCGACTACTTTTTGCAACCCCCAGCCCACATTCCTTCCCCTTGCCTGTAATTATTTTACCCATTTTTTTCCTTTTTGCATGTAGTCTTTGTCTTCCTACCCTTATATAAGCAGCTGGCTAATGAGGGGGGTTAGAGCAGATTTTACAGGATGATCTGCTGCTCTCCCATAATGCCGGCATTGTTGGAAATAAACGCTCATATACAATTCAACTTTGTCTCTGCTTAATTGGCTCAAGTAGTGACAGCCCAGACCTGTTTGTGGTCTGGTTTAAATTTGAAGATGTTATGCTTCTGGTTCTGAAGATGGAGGAAGGGGACCATAAGCCAAGGAATGTGAGTGGCCTCTATAAATTGGAAAAGGCAAGGAAATGGATTCTCCCCCAGAGACTCCTGAATGCAGCCCTGCCAACACTTTGATTTTAGGACTTCTGACCTCCAGAACTGTAAGATCTTAAATTCGTGTTGTTTTAAGTTTCTACATTTGTGGTAATTTGTTACAGCAGCAATAGGGACCTAATATACCTTCTAACATACTACGCAATTAACTTATTATGCTTATTTTTATCTCTCTCTTCCCGCTGCATTGTACCCTTCAGAGTAGGATTTTTTTTTTCTCACTAAAGTATCCCAAACACCTGACAAACAGCAGGTGCTCAATAAACGTTAATGTAGAGATAAATGTAGCCAGGAAGGGGAAGAAGAGTAAAGGACGACCCCTGGGATTGATGCACTGGGAGGGCATAGAGAAAGGAGGACGTGCAGTGTGGGGACAATTGAGAAAATGAAGAATCCCTCCCCAATCCTGAGACAGCTGATAACTAATGACTCAAATGGTTCCCTGCTCTTAACTTTCTTCTTGGGTCTTATTCAATAAGCTACTGATGGTGTGTCTCCGGAACCCATAACATCGCCCTAGGCACTGACATAGGAAACACTAAGTCATAAGCGATCTTGCCCTAAGAGGACTTACATCCTAGTTGGGAAGACAGACGTCCGCAAAGATAGGTAAAAACACAAGCAACCATATGCACGGTGCAGCCCAGTGGTCTGGGGGTGGAGGCGGGGAGGGGCTTACTGTGCTTGAAGTGATCTAGAAAAACTTCGTGGAGCAGATGCCTCGGGAACGGGTCTTTGAGGGGCGGGGCATGTGAAGTGGGAGAAAGAAGACATGATTCAAAGCAAAGCAAAAAAAAATAAAAGAAGAAAGCAAAGCAAAGCAAAGACTGTCAGGAGCGCCTTGGTTGGGTTAACCTTGCCTCACAGGCCGACACAAGGTTGGATTCTGGGGAATAAAGACCAGGCTCGGGAGCACACCGCCTCAGCGGAACTTCAGCATTGCAGGCACCCACCGGGAAGTAACCACGCCCTCCACTTTTAAAATCAGGCCCCCTGAGCGCATGCGCCTCGCAGGGCTCGCGCTGTGTGACCATAGAGGTGCGGAGCTAGAGCGTCAGCTTCCGCGGAGGCCGACATCTTGGGTCCTGGCAGAAAAGTTGGGAAGGGCTGGGACCACTACCAGGTCAGGCTGCACAGCGCAAGGACGTGACAGAAAAAGAGCTCCTGTGGAACGACAAAGTCAAGCGGCGCAACGAATTCGTGATGCTTCCCTAGAGAGAACAGGCTTTTAGAGTCGTCCACCGCCTCGCCCTCATCTGAGATGGTGGCTCCGCGGGCGCTCTAGCTGGCGGCTCCCGGGTGTCTCGGATGCCCAGAGTGGGCGGTGGCCTCGCCACTGGGTCTCCCGAGGCTGCGGCGTCGGGCGCAGCGAACCCGGTTCCTCCAGGGCTGGTTGCGGTTTCCGGGACGAGGAGGGCGAGGGTGTCGGACCCCTCCTCTCCTGTGCAGGCTTCTCGGCGCCTTCCCCGCGGGGCCTCGCGGCCGCCTCAGTCGGACCCACTCCCGGCTGCCGCCCCTCGCGGGCCGGCTGTAACCGCGCCCCGGGCCGGACGATGCCCAAGAAGCTGTTGCTGCTGCCCCCGCTCTCCGTGTCCTCGGCTTTCCGCGCCCCGCGCACCAGCCCCGCCGCTCGCCTGGCCATGAACGCCGCCCGCACCGGCTACCGAGTCTTCTCGGCCAACTCCACGGCCGCCTGCACCGAGCTGGCCAAGCGCATCACCGAGTAAGGGTGGGGCGACCCGAGGGACCCCCGCCCAGAGGCCGTCCGTGCGCCTCTTCCTCTCGGCGGCCTCCGCCAGGCGGACGGCTGGCTTGGCCCCAGGGCCCTGCACCTAGGGGAGGGGGTAGCAGAATCCCTCCGGTTGGGGGCTGGACAAACCCGTGGAGGTGACCGAAGGGGTCCCCCCCCCCAATTTTGCAGACTTAATGACTTAACACGTCCCCACCCCGCTTGCTTGGACCGCTCCCCCTCCTTTGTCACCCGCTGCCCGGGCCGTGAGCGATCTAACCCTCGGAGGGAGCGCCTTGGAGGGGAGCGCCGCGTGCGGGTCAGCTCCCTTTCCCACGCTTGGAGTTGACCTGGGAACCTGGTCCTGGCCATTCCTGAGCTCCCGCCAGGATACGGCCGGACGTAGTTACAACTCGGGACCCGCCGGGGCAGGGCGGTAGGAAGGCGGCAGGTGGACGGTTCCCTGGGCGCACGGTGCCGCGGCGGAGGCCAGGGTGTAGGGGAGGGCCCCGAGTGGCGGCCGCGGTGGGGCTCACCGTGGTTTGCAAGTCGGCTCTAGGTTGGATTAGTCATTTGAAGTGAAGTCTTTGCCTGTACATGTCTTTTTAGCCCAAGGACACCGGTGGCCTGGAGACAGCTCGGAGAGGCCTTTCCAGACTTGCCACTCACTAGCTCCGTGGCACTGGGCAAGACGCTTGATTTTTCTGAACTTCACTTGTGAAATAAGGATAATTCTCTCTACTGGGCAAGAATATTGTGAGCATGAACAAAGCAGTTCGCAGAGCAGAGGCTCATAGTGGCCCTCTGAATGTTACCTGCTTACTGAATGGCCTCTTTTCTAGTTAACTCTTATGGGGAATCCTGGAGCCCTAATGTAAAGGAAGAGCCTTATGAGCCCCCCCCCCCAATAAACTGGTTACAAATATAAGACATATACCTGGCCATTTTGGCTCAGCGGTAGGGCGTCAGCCTGCTGACCAATGCTTCCATTCGTGAGTTCTATTCTGTCCAAGGGCATGTACCTGGGTTGCGGTTGGGGGTGGTGCAGGAGGCAACCAGTCCATGTGTCCCACTCATGTGGATGTTTCTCTTTCTTTCTCCCTTTCTGTCCCTCCCTCTTCCTCCCACTCTATCTGAAGATAAATAGAAAAATAGCCTTGGATGAGGATTAAAATATATATGTTTTAATTTATGTCATACACACACATATGACATATATATGACATAAAATGAATAGCTTGTCTTTAATATTTAAAGTCGTCTTCACATTTTAAATATATTCCAGTTCCTCTGAATTTTTCTGAGTTGACAAAGGTATGGTTATATTTTTTTAGGTGGAAATGTAGAAGAAAGGGGAAACTTTAGTCCTATTTTGTCAGTAATGCTTATTTTCTTTTTAGTTGGAATTTTAAATGAAAAGTGTGTAAAAAACAATCCTTTTGCAATCTACTACCTTGTTTCTATTTTTAACCCTGACTATTTAACTTTCTTTTTGAGGCCAACAAAAATACTGACTTTAAATATAAAGTTTGTGCTTGTTTATTTTGGGCCAGGTTTACCACATTGACCTTGCTGAGAGAAAGCAGAAAGCTGGAGGGAGGGTACATTTTTCTTTTATTAATCTTCATCCGAGGATATGTTTTTAATTCTAGAGAGAGAGGAAGGGGCAAAAAGAGAGAGACATCAGTGTGAGAGCGAAACATTGATCTGTTGCCTCCCTCCTGGGGATTGAACCCGAAATGTTTTGGTGTAGGGGAGGACACTCCAGCCAACTGAGCCACTCTGCCAGGGCTGGAGGGCACATTTAAAACGTCACTGGCTTTTGCTTTTTTGTTTTGATATCAAGTTCTTCCCTGCCTTGGTCCAGAAAGGTTTTACGTTGCTGTGAATAATAAATATTTGTAATTACTTCTCTTATCTGTTTCACATGTTGAGTTTCTCAGTAAGATTTTATTTGAAAAAAGGGTTTTACCACTAAGCAGAGTTTGAGGATCACTGAATTGGATTGATCCCTGAGGTTATGATATTTTATTTCCATGATTCCTTTCAGATCTAAATGTCAAGCAGGGATTGTCAAGCTTCTTAAATTATGCACTTGAAAAAAAAAGTTAGGTGTATTACATTCCTGGGATTTGTATAAATTACATGTGTGTTGCAATGAACTTCCTGCATCCTTCATCCAGCTTCCACTCTGTTGTTAGTCTTGTTTCATCTACTCCACCTGTCCCTCGCCTTTCTTGGCTGGAGTATTTCATGGTAAAATAATACATAACAAAATTTACCTTTTTAACGTGTACAATTCAGTGGCATTAGGTACATTCACAATGCTGTGCAACCATTGCCACCATCCATCTCCAGAACTTATCTTTTTTTTTTATCCTCACTTGAGGACTTTTTTTTTCATTTTTTGTTCAGATAGAGTTGGGGAGAGAGAGACAGACAGACAGACAGACAGACAGACATCGACGTGAAAGAGACACATCGATGTGAAAGAGACACATCGACATGAAAGAGACACATCGAGTGGTTGCCACCCGCATGACCAACCAGGGCCAGGGACAAACTGCAGCCTAGGTACATACCCTTAGCGGGAACTGAACCCGGGTCTCTCTGGACTGCAGGCTGATACTTTAACCACTGAGCCAAACCAGCCAGGGCTCCAGAACTTATCTTGATCCCAAACTGAAAGGCTGTCCCCATGAAACACTAATTTCCCAGCCCCTGGTAACCTCTATTCTGCTTTCTGTGTCTATGAATTTGCCTGTTCTAGGTACCACATGTAAACAGAATCATGCAGTATTTGTCTTTTTGTGTCTTGTCTTACAATACTTTCTTCAAGGTTCAACCATGTAGCATGTAACAGAATTTCATTTCTTTTTAAGGCTGAATAATATTCCATTGAATACGTAGCTGGAGTATTTTTAAACAGATTCCAACCTTACATCATGTCACTTCACTCATAAAATAGTAATGCTAACCAATAATTGAAACACCACCATTCATTCCTTAATATCATCTAGTAACAGCCCTTGTTCATATTTCCCTGATTGTCTCAAAAAGGGCTTTTTTACACTTGTTTTGTTCTAATCAGGATCCAAACAAGACCCACTCTGATTTTGGTTCATAGCACGGAAGTCTATGTTCTTTTGACAAATGAGGCATTGACCTTTGGCATATGGTTTTGCAATTATTGCTAGGAACCAAGTACTCGCTTGGGAATCATTGTGCATGAAACAGACATTAAACTCCGTGTGGCCTTGTTCCAGTAAAGCCTTGCATTACAAACTGGTGACCACTTGAATCTGCTCACAGACTGACAACAGATTTTTAGTTCTTAATAAATTAAACTTTCCAAATTGTTTTTTGGCAAAGAATGCGTCTGGTTATTTTGGTCTGTTTGGTAAACGTATGCATGTGAATTGGAGGTTTCTAGGAAGAGCACTCTTAACTGCCTTTTATTTTCCCCCATAGGCGTCTTGGTGCTGAATTGGGGAAGTCTGTGGTATATCAAGAGACCAATGGAGGTAAAGTTAAAATTATTTCTGAAACATCCTCGGTTCTCTAAACTATATTTAATTAGCTGGCATGTATTTAAAATGCAAATGCTACCCTGGCCAGTTTGGCTTAGTTATTAGAGCATCAGCTCATGGACCAAAGGGTTGCGGGTTCAATTCCCAGTCAAGGGCATGTACTATCCCAGCCCGGTCGAGGATCATGCAACTAGTCAGTGTCTCTCTCTCACATTGATGTTTCTCTCTTTCTCTCTCCTTCCACTCTATGTAAAAATCAATGGAAAAATATCCTCATGTGAAGATTAACAGAAATAAATACATAAATAAATTGCTGATATTACTCATGTTTAACACAGAAACATTTTTCTCTTTAAATTAGAGGTGTAAGACATCATTCTGTACTTCCCGTTAAATCTCGACTCCTTAAAGTCTCCTTTCTTCTTTTTCCAAGATAATGCAACTATCTTATCATTTGGAACAAGAAAGGGAGAGCTACAGAGAAAGTTTTTCTTTATCTAGCGGTGTTGGGAGATACTCCTTGTTTCTCTGTCTCATTGGGACATCGGCAGCATCGAGGGCAATCTGGTATAGGTAGTGGTGACTAATGAAAAGAACTCTCTTGCTGTTCTTTTCACCTCTAAATTTTTCTCTCAGGTCTGTTGTAGTCTCTCGCCTGGGCTAGTGACCCGTTTTTGCTGCCCCCTGGGTTTCTGCGGGGGACTCAGTAACATTAAATGATCATGTTTGAGGGCGTGTTGCTGATGGCCAGTGTCCTAGGAATGCTGCGTCGTGAATCTTATGGAGGGGCCATATACTTCTGTAGAGTGCCCTTCGTCTTTGCAAAGACAACTTAGTATCAGATGATTTGACACTTTTTTCCAAAGCAAAAAGCCTGGATTCGTGATTCTATGCTTCCCTTTCTCTTTCTGAGGCATAATTATCTATGGTATGAGGAGCTCAGACATAATGATTGGGGATCGAAAAAGGCAGAGTATTAAAAAAGGGAATGATAGTTTAATGGAAAGTTTCTGGGATCTGTGTAAGTTACATGAGTGTTATAATTAGCCCCACATAGCCTTCATCCAAACTCTACACTTAGTAAGGTTTTACTTGGTGACTTAGGGCAAGTCAGGAGGTGCTAGTGCTGAGGAACCTGAGGATGACGGCAGAGCGCTGAGATGGTCTAGTTGGCAGGAACTATTTTAGTCCATAGTGATGACGTCTGGGGATCTCAGGAAATGAAGCACTCACGGAAGAGGAGGTGGCTTAAGGAAGACCTTGTTCTCCGTTCTTCCATCACTGTTCTAGGCCTTCTTATCTCTGGGGCTGTTGAAGTAGCTCCCTAACAGGTCTTCCTACCTCTCTTTAGCCTCTCGAGTCCATTGTACATACCTCCACTAGGATATTTCCAGAATGCAAATTGTTTTGATTTACTGCTGCATAAATCCTACAGGCTAGAGTCCAGTGTCCTCAGCAGTCCCTGGAGCCCTTGGGGTCTGGGTTCTGCCCACCTCACCTGACGTTTCTTCCCTGGTCCTTCAGCACATCCTGTGTGCCGACTCCAGAATGTCTCAAGTCCCACCGCTTCTCTCTGTCTGCGCTGTGCTGCTCTGGCCCACCTGCTGCTTGGGCTCGTCTGGATTCCTTCCAAACAACTGGAGTGGCCTTCTTGCTGCCACTCGTGTCCTGCCACAGTGTTCTTCACACAGTAGTCGAGATCACCACTCCCCCTCCCCCCGCCACCTTTGAGTCCTGTGGTGGCTTTCCTGTCGCGTGTACAATAAAATCCAGACTCGTGCATGGCCAGGCCCCTGCTGGCTCCCTGACCTCCTCTGTCTCTCCTCATCCACTCTGCTTTCCCTGTGGACAGATGACTGCCCCTCTGCTTGGCACACTCTGTCCCCACATCTTTGCATGTTCCCATACTCCCTCCCTCTGCACCCTCCAGCTTGCAATGAGGCCATTGTTTCCGGCCCTTTTATTCTTTTGCTTTTATCACTGCTGGTTTTTCCCTGGCACGTCGGCCTGGGTGTTTGCCAGCCTTTGGCATTGTGTTGTCTTTCTGTGTCAGTCTTCGTCCCGTGGTCCCACACTTTGGGACTCCAGTTTGGGGCCTGGCACAGAGGAGGCTTCAGCAGTTGTTGAAAGAATAATAAAGATGTTCACCTTTGGCCTTTTTATTTGCTGCAGACTTTCCTGTCTGAGTATCTTATCTTTCTAATATTTTTTTATTTTTATTTATTTTTTATCCTCACCTGAGGACATTGTGCCATTTATCTTTAGACAGATTGAGAGGGAGAGAGACAGCGAGAGTGAGAGAAACATCGACGTGAGAGAGACACATTGACTGGTTCCCTCTGGCGCAACCCCGACCAGGGCTGGGGATGAACCACAACCGAGGCATGTGCCCTTAACCGGAATCAAACCCGGGTCTCATTGGTCTGCGGGCCGATGCTCTAACCGCTGAGCCAAACCGGCCAGGGCCTGAGTATCTTATCTTTCTTTTGGTGATGAATTTTCTGTTTTGGACCCTGAGATTTTATGTAGACCTGTTACTTACCTTTGCCTTCTCATCTATTTTCGGCTTATTTCCCCCTTTGCTTGACTTTTTAAAAATACATTTACATACCATTCTGAGATCTAAGAGTTTATTTTGGTGCATGAAGTGAAATGCTGGTTTAGATTCATCTTAACTCCCTCCAGATGCTGTCTGATTATTGCATCATGAAGTGCCTTTCTTAAAGTTACAGGATGTTTTTATTTTTCAGAAACAAGAGTTGAAATAAAAGAATCTGTTCGTGGCCAAGATATTTTTATTATACAGACAATACCCAGGTAAGAGTAAGCACTACTTTGATATAATTCATTATCATTTCATATGAACAACAATTCCGTTTTCTTTAAATTATAAATGTGTTTGCATTTAAACAGTTTTCCTGAGTTCCATGAGCCATTCTAGCACATTCATAACCCGAGGAGGGGGTCATGGGAACCTCTGATTGATAGCAGGTCAGCCACAATCACAGTAACAGCCTAGACTTGGCATTGTTATCTGAAGTGGGGAATGGGTGCTGTCTTGGACTGAGCTCTTAGCCTATGGGATCTACTGCTGTTCTCCACGTAGACAGGGTCAGAATTGAGTTGGATTCTCGGGCGCCCAGCTGTTGTCTGGAGGTTTGGAGAATTGCGTGATGTGAGGAAGCCACATGCACTCGGTGGCCAGTAACGTCCAGCGTTCTAATGTACAGTCTCCTTTGAGGGTGTTGAGGGGACTATGTCTGAAGGAGACCGAGGACCAGTGCTCACTGAGAGTTATTTGAACCTAAGTTTAACAAAATTCCCTGCAGTGACAACTGGTAGATACTAAGTGCTTTATTTATAGTATTTTTTTTCAGATTATAAAAGCAATGTTCATCACTAAAAAGACAAGACGTTATAGAAATGTATATCAAAATAAAAATTCTCAGCCCTCATTCACTCCCCAGTCTTCCGAGATAACTACTTTAAATAGTTGTTTATTACTCTGTATTTTTTATGTGTATACAAATTTAGGCTCCATAATTCAAGTGATCCTCAAAATCAATATGCAAGTAATTGTAATTTATCTGTATAGTCAGGTTTCAAAAGAGTATATAAAAATGTGCCCCTAGCCACCCCATTTCCCCACCCCAGGCAGCAGTTATTGTCCATTGCTTGGGTAGTCTTTCAGAAACTATGCCTGTATAAGCAGTTGCTTATGTATTTTTTATCGTTTTTAAAAAAATTTATTTAGAGAGAAGGGGGGGAGAGAGAGAGAAACATCAATTTTGTTGTTCCACTTATTTATGCATTCATTGGTTGATTCTTCTTCTTATTTATTTATTTATTTATTTATTTTTCTTTTATTTTTTTTATCCTCACCCGAGGACATTTTTCCATTTTTTGTTCAGGTAGAATGGGGGGGGGGGGAGAGGGAGAGAGAGAGGGAGAGAGGGAAACATCAACTTGAAAGGGACACATAGACTGGCTGCCACCTGCACAACCCAACCAGGGCCGGGGCCAAACTGCAACCAAGGTACGTGCCCTTAGCGGGAACCGAACCCGGGTCTCTCTGGACCGCAGGCCGACGCTCTAACTGCTGAGCCAAACCGGCCAGGGCCTTTTTTTTAATACATTTTTTTTAATCCTCTGCCGAGGATATTTTCCTATTTATCTTCAGATAGAGTTAGAAAGTAGAAGAGAGGGGGAGAGTGGAAGGGGGGTGGGGGAGAGAGAGAGAGAAACATAATGCAAGAGGGACACATCGACTGGTTGCCTCCTGCATGACTCTGACCAGGGCCAGGGACAAACTGCAACTGAGATACATGCCCTTGACTGGAATCGAACCCGCAGCCTTGGCATACTGGGACGACACTCTAACCAGTTGAGCTACCCAGCCAGGGTGTATATATTTTTCTTAATTTTTACTTAAAAGGAGTCTAATATGGCCCTGGCCTATGTGGCTTAGTGGGTTGGGCATTGTCCTGTGTAGCAGGAGGTTGCTGGTTCGATTCTCAGTCGAGGGCACATGCCTGGGTTCCTGGCCCGACCGCCAGCGGGGGACATGCAAGAGGCACCGATTGGTTCCGCTCTCACTTCGATGTTTCTCTTTCTCCTTTACTCTCTCTCTAGATACCAATAAACTATTTTTTAAAAAGGAGTCTAATATACTCTGTGCTGAACTTTTAAAAATAAAGTCGTATACTCTATTAGCACATAAAAAACTACTCCATCTTTTAAAATTTCTTATTTTAAAACAATCACAAACTTTTAGAAAATATGTAGGTATGGTGAAACCATTTGAGAGTAGTTGCCAACTTGATGCCTCACCACCCCAGATACTTTATTGTGTGATTCCTACAAACGAGGGCTTTCTCTTCACCACAGCACAGGCCCAGAATGGCGTCCTGACGCTGATCTGTGACTGCCGTCTGATCCTCAGACCCACCCATTCCCGTTCAGTCTGCCGTCCCACTGGCGGGCCTCCTGGCACAGGGAGCCAGGAGCGGGTCGTTGTCCTGCCTCTTCGGTCTCCTTCCGTCTGTAACGATTCCTCCGTCTTTCAAAACGTCAACGCTGTTGAAGACTTTGACACCTAAGCCAGTTAATTTTGTCGAATACTCGTTAATTTAAATTTGTCAGATGTTTTATTATATTAACCTAAAAATAAAAAGGCCAAAGTGAGAGGCAACAAGCATTTATTGGAGACCCAAAAGCATAACAGCTATTTGGGAAGCACTGATTCAGGCAGGAACCCAACCTGTGTTTGGATTAGGAGGTGGAGGCAAGGGGCATTTATGAGGAGAGGAAAGGGGAATAATTACATGAATAGAAGGAAGGGATTTTCTTTTGGTGTTAGTATGTCAAGGAAGGAGTTTCTGCAGGTGTAAATAAGCTACGTTATTCTGTTTTTATTTTTTTTTTATCCTCACCCGAGGACATTTTTTCATTTTTTGTTCAGGTAGAGCTGGAGGGAGAGAGAGAGAGAGAAACATCGACGTGAAAGGAACACACCGAGTGGCTGCCACCCACACAACCAACCAGGGCCGGGGACAAACTGCAACCGAGGCATGTGCCCTTAGCGGGAACCGAACCCGGGTCTCTCAGGACCGCAGGCTGACGCTCTAACCGCTGAGCCAAACCGGCCAGGGCTGCTACGTTATTCTTTAGCTGTACATGGTGGTGCTGATGCTAAAGAACGTTCCTAATTTTTAGTCCAGTAGTCAGAATGTCTGCTTACCTGTTAGTTCTGCAGACAGTTATTTGGGACACAGTGTTGCTTTGGCCCTGTCCAAAGGTTATTTTGCCCAATCAGACATGCCAGAGGCTTGAGGAGTAAGATTCAAGGCATTCCTCTGGGAGGGCAGCTCCGACTCCATTTTGAAGTGGCTTGGTTTCTATTACTTTCCACAGTGATGATGGGATTCACATTGTGTACGTGTATATATATATTTTTAATCCTCACCTGAGAGTATTTTTCCATTGATTTTCAGATAGAGTGCGAGGGAGGGAGGGAGAGACAGAGAGAGAAACATTAATGTGAGAGAGACACATAGATTGGTTGCCTCCCACACAACCCTAACCAGGGCTGGGGACTGATCTGCAACCAAGGAATGTGCCCTTGACTGGAATTGAACCCGAGACTCTGGTCTGAGGGCCGAATCTTTAACCTGCCAGGGCTTGTTGTGTATTTTTGGAAGGAATACCAGAGAAGTGGAGTTGTGTTCTCTTCTTGTCTTTTTGCTGCTTTATAATGTGTTACATAGATGTACCAAAATTTATTCCACCAGGCACATATCTGATTGATTTTAATTCTGTGCAACACAATAGTACTAAAGCGGAACATCCTAGATGCACCTGTGTTTCAGGTACATCTGTAGGAAGATTCCGAGAAATGGAATTGCTGGGTGGAAGGATCCATGCATTTGTAGTATTGATAGATGTGGCTGTGTTGATAGACATTGATAATATTTGCAGTATTGAGAGAGAACTCTTATTGCCCATTGAGGATATACTAATGTATATCTCCTCCCATCATTTTGGTTTTGTATTGTTTGCCTCCTGGTGATGGCAGTCTTTTTGCCCAGTGGTTTTGTTTAACATTGCATGTTAGAAATGAAGGAAATATTTGATGTCTTGTTCCTGGCATATGTCATCAGTTTAGCTCAAATAAACTGTTAGAAAGAAAGAAAAATGTGGGGAAGACCTGAGGGATTTGCTCAGGAGTAAATGTATGTAGTAAGGGAGCTTTGACCCTCCACAGACTGCTCCCTGGCCTTCTGTGCTTGATTGGCTTTGTTGGTAGTGAATAGTAAGGTTGCAGCATCATCTCTTTTTCCCTCCAAATTCTTGAGCTCCTAGGGCATGGGCAAGAGCCGCATGTGACCCAAGGTCCTTGCCTTAGACTACTGAGAGCCTTGACCAGGCTATTGAGGGGTGGAGAACAGAACCGTGGTCACCACAGCCATAGACAGGCCAGCTTTGTCACTGATCCTCCAGGGAATACGGAGGTGTAAGCCCAAAGGTGGTGTTGGTCAGTAAAGTGTCTTCTCTCTACCCTGACGATTTTATTCAAATATGTTTTTATTGGTTTTAGAGAGAGGAAGGGAAAGGGAGAGAGAGAAATATCAATGTGAGAGAGAAACACTGATTGGCTGCCTCTTACATGCCCCTACTGGGGATCGAGCCCGAAACCTTGGCATGTGCCCTGACTGGAAATCGAACCAGCAACCTTTTGGTGCACGGGACGATGTCCAACCAACAAGCCCCATTGGCCAGGGCGAGGCCAAGTATTTTTCTAGCACGCTTTCCTGAGGCTATTGAGTATTCTTTCCTCTTTACTTTTATTATGAGTTTAGGAGGTAGAAAAGAGATATAATAGTAGTAATAGCCAATTTTGTTTGCTATGTCTCCAGCACTCAAAACACTTGTTTAATACATGAGTGAATTTTGCCCTATGTCACCAGCACACCTAGTCCCTCACACCCTTGTGGGGTGAATTAATGAATACTATACAATTTCGGTACATTTCCCTCTTCATAAAATACTTATGTTCCCTGTTTGGTTCTTAGACCTCAGTGGGTCCCTAATACCTGATGTGACTTTCTTTCCCACTGCATCTGATCTGAAATTGAGAAGACCTTCAGGGTTTCTGTGTTTCCTTTGTATACTTTGAACTCCTGGTTCTGGCTCAGACTTGCTCCAGCTGCCCAGCTGTAGGAGGTCAGCTCCTGCGGCCCAGCAGCGCTCACGGTTAGCAGCCCCGCCCTCTTGTGATCTCAGAACACTGTGCTGTTAGTCTCCTATGCAGGGAGAGT